ACACACTGTCCTTCTTATGGACATGTCCGAACCAATAGACACACTGTCCTTCTTATGGACATGTCCGAACCAGTAGACACACTGTCCCCCTTATGGACATGTCCGAACCAGTAGACACACTGTCCCCCTTATGGACATGTCCGAACCAGTAGACACACTGTCCCCCTTCTGGACATGTCCGAACCAGTAGACACACTGTCCCTCCTCCTCTGGACATGTCCGAACCAGTAGACACACTGTCCCTCCTCCTCTGGACATGTCCAAATCAATAGACCCACTTTCCTTGTTGATCCTTGTTGATCCTGTTGATCCGGGTACCTGGGTCATGACAGATCCCGTGGGTCATTGTTTGGGTGACCTYCTCCTGTTTGGCCTGAGTAAGGCCTCTCACAGAGTGAATAGCTTTTCGTTGAGTTGGTCAGTAGTTACAGGTGTAACTCTTCCTGTTGTTAAACACATTTTTTTTGACATCTTTCCATCAGTTTTATGATCCTTTGTATCGGTGGATCGTCCCCAGCTGACAGAAACCATGTTCTGAGTTGAAACGCATGTCCTCTGTTGGACCCACATCCTGTGGCATCACATCTGGACTCGCAGTCTGGGTTACTTGAATGTTTCAGCAGCGTCATCGCTCATCTGCCAAATGCTTCGCTTCATGTTGTGCTTTTTCGCACCGCGGCCATATTTACGGTAACATTTTGTTCCGCCATCCCATCTGGCGTTGGCGCCTGCTCCTCTGTTCGGGTGCCAAAAAGCTGTGTTTGGATGCATGTTAAGCATAAGCAACAGACGTGAATGCCGAAGCAGCTCATCAAGCTTGTCCTTTTGCTCACTTGCTGAAATTAGGATTTTTTTCTTTCCTTTTGTAAGTTAAAAGAATCAACATCAGTGGCAAAGTCTCATTAAATAAGACAGGAGTGTCTCACTGACACAACATAAACCTCCAACTATTGAGTTTTATCCAGAAGAGAAAATCCGCCTTAAACTGTCAACACAGATTTGATTTAGTTGTATCAAATCAGCCWTAATATTAATATTTATCAAGACTGTCTGGTGGTTCTAATCTAAACTCTTGTTCTGTGTTTCTGTCTGCAGGTTTAACGTGGGAAGACGATGTCACCCAGCAGGTTCTGTTCAAAGAATTATCCAAACTGAGAAGGATTCCTTACCAGCCACAGCAGAAAGGCCCAGTTCACAGCAGCAACAGCAGGTCCCGTTTCACTTTTTACAATCTCCATTTTCACCTCAAAGCTTCTTACAAATCTAAATATGAGAAATAGTTTTAGGGTTAGATTGTTTCATCCAAAGTGCTTTGATTGTGAAAACAGTTTTTCTCTCCTGCAGGCCGGCGGCCGAAGTGATGGACCCGGTRGATCACCAAGTGAAGCCGGTGGAGGTGGAACTGAACAGAAATCTGCAGACGTACCTCCAACGTTTGGGTCTCCTTCCCACGACGTCTTCATCCAGCCTGGGTAAACCTGGCAAGGTGAGGCGTTCTGTTTCTCCTCTGTGTTTGTGATTTATTATTCTTTTTTTTTTAAATAAAAAATCAAGTTTTCATAACATTTTGCTTCTTTTGAGTATCTTAAATTTGTTGCTGCATTTGTCTTTTTCCCTAATCCTCCTGTGAACTCTCCAATAAATGCATAGATTTGAAACAATGCAATAACATTGCACCCATGACTAAAGAAGTTTACCTTTCCAATAAATACCTGAAATGTTGACTGAGTCCCTGTGCCGGGTCTGCTGAGTCGTCTGTCCTGCTGGCGGGGGGAGCGTGCTCRGGGTGCAGCTGTGTGCAGCCTGCAGGCATTGCTGTGGGGCTTGCCGCCCTTTATTTGTTCAGAAGCACCTGTTTGGTGGAAGAGAAAAGGAACGGAGCGACAGGAGGGACCCCCTGGAGGGTGCAAACGGTCCAAACTGTGTCGGCTGTGATGGAGAGTCCAGCAGCGACATGTTCCATGTGTTAAAGACAGTTTGTTTTATAATTTCATCATTATTTAACCTGTCTCTGCTCCTCTTGTGTGGGTGGTTTAATAGATCTAACAGTGACAATTACCTTTCTTTGTAGTTAACATAGTTGCACAAACGGATTTTTTTAATAAGCACTTACACAGGACATTTTCCAAATCCACTTTTTTAGCTGTTAAATACATTTTGTTGTGGACTTGTTGGAGGCAGAAAAGTTGAATTTAGTCTCTCCTAGTTTTGCAAAGAMATCTTTATTTTCTGTTTGGGTCAGATTCTTCAGYCCGTTCAGTTTACTCTATTTTCTGATGTTTTCTGAGCTATTACGTCAAATAATCTGCGACATAATTACCAAATAAGGTCTGGACTTACCAACTACAATTGCCTCGTCTTGTCTCCAACATGTAAGGCTGGAAAGACAAGTCTTCTGTTGCTGACATCTTTCAATTTAATTGTAAATAAAATGTTTCTGCATTTCTAGAAAACACAACTCCCCTTCTCTCAAACTGGAGTGGATCGGTTTAGAAGCAGGAGGGGGCGGGGCTTGAAGAGTCTTAAAGGAACAGTAACAAAACGAGCTGCTTTGAGACACACAGCAGAAACGTGGTGAAAGAGGAGCTGGTAAAGTTAGAATAAGATGGAATTCAGACCAAAGCTTTGTTGTTCCACTTTATAAAGACCCAACTGAAGGATTTAAATGTGAAAAAGGATTTTAAAGCATGATTTACCAACTTTAAGTCAAAATCGTGATACTTGTAGATGATAAATGTATACTTTGATCCAAGTGGGAAATTCAAAACATCAGTACCCATCCATCCATTATCTGTACCTGCTTATTCCTTACAGGGTCACGGGGGGTCACTGGTGCCCATATCCAGCAGCACAGTGCAAGAGGCAGGGTACACCTACATCACAGTACCATCATGACTAATTAAACTCATTAATGAAGTTACAGTAATTGAAAGTTCATCATAATATTTCTGTCATTTTGCACTTTGTATCCAGATGTTGACTACATCCAGTTGTAGACACATCAATTACACTGGTCAACACAAAAAAAATTGTCTAAGTTTTTTCATCTGACTTAGTAATATTTCGACGAGCTGAATCCAAAAATCAAATTCAATTTGCTCCATCAGGCCAACCTTTTACGATTCTGTTTACATGCATTTTTTAAATTTCATTTCAATTTTATATATTTCATTTTCAAGAAATGAAATTACTTACTTCATACTGCAAGTTAATGAGTGATGTCATCAATTGCTATATGTCATTTACTTAATTCGCTTCTGGTCATTGCATTTTAGTAAGAGGAAAGTTAAAAAAAAAACCCTCTATATTGCATTAAAACTAAATGGCTTCAACCAGAAGATCTTGTAAAAATAAACCTGATGTATTCTGTTACATCTGCGGTGAATAGACCCTTGTGCCTATCAGGAATCCAGTCACAAGTTTCATAAAGCGTGCTCACCGTGCTTATTCTGGTATGAAACTTGGAGATCAGGACAAAGCTTGGGCAATAAAGCAATAAATTGTGTTAGAAAACAATTTATATCCTAAAAATCTAATTCTGATGAGAAATGTTACTAAAAATCAACCGATAATCTCAAAAAATGTAATTATCAAAATAATCCATTTAGAAAAAGAATGGACTTAGCAAAAAAAGTGACCTGATTTAAAGGAATGAATTATTTTTTGATTCCATAGTGGATGTTTGTAATAAATTAATATGGTGGCCCTCAAAGGGCCAGTTGTAACTAACTTTGACATATGTTTAACTTCGACTAAACACGGAATGTCACATTTCTTGTCTCAGCACTAACAAACAGTAACTGAGCTCTACTTGGTATTTCCTGCATAGAAACAGCTTTTTAACACGTCCTCTTATAAACACTGAAAAAAAATTATGTACAACTGACTAAATGTGAAATACACAATACAGATGCATTATGGGAGATGTAGTTTATGGTCCAGTGCTGGCTTTAAAGCAGCTGCTCAGTTAAAGCTGACAGCTCAGGGGCAGGACAAATATTATCTTTCACCTTTTAAATTAGTTTATTTTGTTGCATTTAATAAATTTAAAGGTTACCATTGATATAAGAAACAATTTTCTTATTAAATGAAAAAATAAAAAAATTAAAAAAAAGATTTGGGAGTTGCCCCCCCGCTGGCGGGCCAGACGGGAGTCACATGGCCCGCGGACCTTGAGTTTGACACATGCTCTAAACTAAAAGTGAATGGAAAACGCATCAAAAGTTAAAAAGAGAGTTTGATCAATATTTTTCTAAAAGTGTTGAACGGTTGATCAAAAGGGCTCAAAGCTGAAGTCTGGCTGCTTAAAAAAAACTCCAGCTGGTTTGAAACCTATAAGTGAACTGAAGCTGCGCTCCTGCACTGCCGCGTGTTTTTGTTTTAGTCGCTGAAGACATCCGAGAGCAAAGCCGTGTCCTTGACTCAGAAGTCGTCTCCCTCCGGTTTCTAATCATCTTTTGTTTTTTAATCTTCCCAGCTGCTGCAGAAAGCGGGACCTCCGTCCAGCTCCCTGCTCGCCACACAGGCTGACGCTGACCTTCTCCTGGGCGCCCTGAGGCAGTATCTCTCTGGGCATCTCTTCCAGCCCAGCGGGGGGAGGAACCCCCCCGAGCAGGAGGCCTCCTCTCTGCGCCTCAGGCCGTTCTACAACAATGCCTTGGGAAATCCCGAGCTCAAAAAGGAGACTTCCAAACCCAGGCTTCTGAAGACGGGGAGAACTCAGGGGGCTCCAGCCAAGCAGCCGCTCACGTCTGTGGACGGTGTGTTTTTATGTTTTTAATTTATTTGTTTTCTAGATTTAAGCAGAAAATGATGCRTTGCTTTGCTTTAGGACATGTCCTCCTCTGGGGACATCCAGCTGTCTCACACAAACACACACCTGTTTAACTATAAATGCATCCAGACTGAGCTTTTATATTTCATGCAGATGTGGACGTCGAAGAGAGAACATTTAATTGGCTAAATTTGGGCAGTCATGGTCCTCAAGGACCACAGCTCTACATGTTTTACATGTTGCCCTGCTCCAACACACCTGATTGAGTCACCTCTTCCAAGTTCTGCAGTACGGAGGACCAACACTGACATAATTAGAAATAAAAGCAGAAATAGATAAATGAACTTTTAAATAAATATACAGTACATTTAAAATGTTTTATAATTAAATTGACCTTCATATTTATTTTTCCAGCTTAGTTCCAATAAATTATATATTTTGACACATAATTTAAATTTTTTATGTTTTTTTAAATATATATTTTACATGCTTTTTAATTGTACATGCATTTGTGTCTCTTGAATGCTTAAACTGAATTATTTTTATAATTTTGTCCGTCTTTTTATTTCTATGCGATGCATGCTTGTGCTGCCGCAGTTTAGCTTAAAGTTTAGTTAAAAACAAAGGCACAGGTAATGTTTTCCTCCTTGCCTTTGTTTTAAACTAAACTTTAAGTTAAATGAGACAGCATAAGCATGCAACACAGAAATAAAAAGACTTGTTGGAAGAAAATATTAAATTATTTAAGTAGAAACATTTAAGACACACAAATGCATGTACAAGTAAAAGGAAAAACAATTAATATATATTTTAAAAAACAGTAAAATTTAAATTATGTGTTCAAATATATAGACTAATTCGGTGGAACTAACCTGGAAAAATAAATATGAAAGTCAAAATATAAAACCGGAGATAAAGTTCTCCTTTTTTTATTTAATTGGTACATTTTAAATGTATTTATTTAGTGGTTCATATAATTCTGCTTTGATTTCTAATTATGTCAGTTTTGGTCCTCCGTACTGCAGAAGCCTGATAATCATTTATTCATTCATATCAGGTGTGTTGGAGCAGAGAAACAAATAAAACATGCAGGGCTGTGGACCTGCAGGACCAGGATTGCCCATACCTGTTCTAGACAATAGAAATAAAACAATAATGTAGAAGTAAAAATTTAATTTATCAGTTTTGATTTCTCAGATCCAAGACATAATTTTAATTAAACTGAAATGTTTTAATTTCATGTTGGTTTTTTTCTGAGATGCCTACAAACAACTGATCAACATGGCTTCAGTTCAAAATGTCAGAGCGTCATTTTTTGAATAGTTTTAGGGAGATCGGGACATCGTGGTCTTAGCTGTTCAACAAATACAACACCGCCAGATGTTGTTGCTTTGATTTGAGGTAAATTTTCTAACGGATTGGCCATCATTACAACTGTTTGTTGGACTCCAGCTGGGCCTCCAGCTGCAGCAGATTAGCAAAATGTGACTGGAAAAAGCGAGGCAGGAATGTGACTTCTGTCTTTCTGAGGCCTGGATGTGGTTTAGCACCAGGATATTAATGTTTTCAGCACATCAACTGTTTTTGCTTCGTCCTCCAGAGAAGTTCATTGAGAACGTCGTGAAGAACGTCGGAAGGCAGCATCTAAACGTGGACAACCTGACGCCGCAGGACCTGGACCAGCTGTCCAGCCTGATAGCCGACGCTCTGCTGGTGGTCGACCAGGAMCCAGGACTCAACAGGGGACTGTCCCGGGACAGGGGACTTGGACTGAGAGACCTGGAGGAAGAACCGAGCCACTCAAATGAAGAGGAAGATGAGAAACTCCTGCTGAAGTCTGAACCAACCCTGAAACCACAGGAGAGCCCCTCTGTGTCCCTGACGGCCCCTCAAGGTACCTCTGGGGTGACTCACTTACTGCTTTTCTGCTTAATTAAACCTTAATTTAACTTCATAATTAAACATTAAATAAGTTATTGTATATGGCACAGTATGAGTGCCTAAACTGAGATTATTGTGCTACCAGTGGTTGCTACATTCTTGTAGCAGGAGGCTATCCATGCTAGTCACTAGCCTCTCCAATACTAACGCCAGCTTATACGTGCTTGTTGCTAGCCTCTCCAATGCTAAATCCAGCTTATGCATGCTAGTCGTTAGCCTCTACAATGCTAAATCCAGCTTATGCATGCTAGTCGTTAGCCTCTACAATGCTAAATCCAGCTTATGCATGCTAGTCGTTAGCCTTTACAATGCTAAATCCAGCTTATGCATGCTAGTCGTTAGCCTTTACAATGCTAAATCCAGCTTATCCATGCTAGTCACCAGCCTCCGATGCCAATGCCAGCTTATACATGCTTGTTGCTAGCCTCTCGTATGCTAATTCCAGCTTATTCATGCTAGTTGCTAGCCTGTCCGATGCTAACATAAATGAATAGTCTTCTCATTTGCAAGCACTGGCCGTCATACCAAGCCACAGTTGTAAACATGCAAACATAATAGTTTGTTAAAACCACAAAACGTTTAAACTGTTGGTTAATAATTCTTCATCCATGTAGACCAATAAGACTGAAGGTATTCCTGCAGTGAGTGGAATTATAATATTTGCGTGTATTTACTTCTAATTATCAGTAAAGATTTAATTCAAGTGGATATTAAAAAGAAATTTATGATCAAATCAGTTTTTAAAACTTTAAGACATTTGTTTGAACAGCTCTTTCTGTTGTTGCTGTTTGTCTCCTGTTTTTATTCCTCTTTCAGTGTCCTTAAACACAACTAATTAGTTTTTCTCCCAACAGAGCGCCACACAGATGCAGAGGAGGTTAACTTGAAGGATGCGGTAAGTGATTAGTTTGTAGTTAAAAGGGCAAAACTTTCTCCCTCCAGCTTTAAAATACAAACAAAACCATCACCAATTAAATTGACGTCTGTATTTTTACTACATATTTTGTTTTTAAATAAGTTCAGAGTTTTAGCTATAATTCTGCTTCTTTCAGCTATTCTTCTGCTATTTTCTACCCTTTTGTGATAATTTGAGCTATTTCTATTTCTTACAGTTACTTTCTGCTATATTCAGCTATTTGCTGCAATTTTAGCTAAAGTTCAGCTGTTATTAACTAAAGTTACTTTTTTCACCTTCTTCCTGTTTAGCTCAGCAAACCTGTGCTCCTTATGCTTCCTGATGCTAATTTAGGGATTTCCAGCTACATTTTAGCTGTTTTACTGCACATTTTTGCTGTTTTTAGATGTTTCACAACAAATGATCAGTTTTATACGTTTACTTTTTATTTTTTCTACTAATTTGACATTTTATGCCTCTTTTTACTATCTGGGTGCTAAATTCAATTTGTTCTAAGGCTAATTTTAGCTTTTTTCTGTTATTTCTGCTTTTATTCTGCTTCTTTCTGCTATGCTTCTGCTAGTTTGTACTTATTGCATTTTTTTCTGCTAATTTGAGCGATTTCTGCTTCTGCATTCTGCTATATTCACCAGTTTGATGCAATTTTAGCTAATGTTCAGCTGTTATCAGCTTAAATTTGCGTTTTTGGGCTAAATTCACATTTTGGTGGTTATTTCAGCTTCTTTCTGCTTAGTTCAGCAAACCAGCGTTCCTTATGCTTTTCTATGCTAATTTAGGAATTTTCAGCTACATTTTAGCTGTTTTACTGCACATTTTGGCTGTTTTTAGCTATTTTACAACAAATTAGCGTTTTTTTGTACTTTCATGCATTGTTTCTGCTAATTAGACTTTTTTATTCTCTTGTCACCATCTGGATACTAATTTCCACTTGTATCTGCTACCTTTAGCTTGTTTTTAAGCTAATTTTTCTTTGCTTTTTCAGCCGTCTTCTCTTTTCAGCTATTTTTCTGCTAAGTAAAAAAAAAAAATTGATGCTTTTTTTCAGCTTTTCAAATTAATTATTAAATTATTATTACTATTAAACATCCTCAGCTTCATTTCTCAGCAGCTTTCAGCTAAAGCTTTCAGCAGTAGGTATTCACACTAGTGTTTTTGCAGGAAATGCGATTTCTCTAGTTATTTTGTTTAATTGTAACAGAAACGAAAACAATATTGTGTCTTTATGCRTTTAAAGATCAGTTTATTCTGTCATGTAAAATGATTTAGTTAAACTTTACTAGTTTGTTCTGAATATTTCATTCCAGACAAAGACCAGCAGCCTTTTGTCCAAACTCCTCACCTACCTGGATAAAACCCCCTTCACCGGTCCTCCTTCGGTGAGGAGCCGCTACGACGTAGCTGTGGAGACGGGCAGAGGCCGGCAGGTGGGCCTGGAAAATGTCCAGAGTCGCACCAGCGAGGCGGCGGTGACGGTGCAGAAGAAGGACGCCACCCAGTCTGTGGAGGAGGTGTCGGAGGTGGAGGGCTGGATCAAGGAGGTGGCGCCTCCTCCGGCGGCGCTGGTCTACGAGGAGCCGCACAAGAAGACGATGCATGCTCCCGAGCTTCAGCTGGACGTCAAATCCAGCAGGAAGAAAGCCGACGAGGACGTCTTTGGTTACGTCATCACGGACACAGAGTACGTATGAGGAGGATTTTCAGGCAGAAATCTTGATATTTAAATTCTTCCTGCAATTCTTTCTTTTTTTCAGTTTTTTGTATTTGATAAGCAGCTTTACTATTACTGATCCACCTAATGAGTACTGAGAAATCTCTGTACTGATATCAAAAGCTCAACTAGTTTCATTAAGTTTAGACTTTTTCCAATAAAAAAGGTCATAAATCAAATTGAAAATGTCTAGGATGCTGAATGTAATGTGACCTTTTGTAACCCTGCTAGTCCTTTAGCATGTTAGCATGACTCTTTTGAACAGGGTTCAAACAATTGTAAAAAAAAAAGTCTAATTCAGGATAATTATACATTACACATCAAAGAAAACGTCTTCAGTTAAACATCCTGTTTTTTCAGCTCAAAGTTTCTACGAGTCCTTAAAATGTCTTAAAAGACATCGAATTCATCAATCCAAAATTAAGACCTTAACTAGCATTAAAATGTTTTAAATTATTCTTTCAGAGGGCCTAAAAATGTCAACACTTTGCAAGTAGGATTGTAATTTGTTGCCAGTATTAAAATTATTGGTAACTTTTTATTTTTTAATATTACAGAATGCCTCTTGCAGAGAGTTGTTTCGTGTTAAAATAAACATTTGCGTGAATTCAAGTGGCTTTAAAAAAGTCTGAAATGTAACTTGCCTTAGCTGGAGGAACCCTGCAGCTGCTTATGGAGCAAGTATTGCATTTTTTACTTGAGATTTTTAATTTGTTTAGTTTAAATTGGAAGTTTGAACTAAGAGTGGCCTCAGTTTGACAGTTTGCTGTTGGAGAAATTAAAATATTGACTAAAATAACAACTAAAGCTTTAGAATTCCTTGAGTGAATGTGCATCACCTCTTAAGCTACAGCAGGACATGTTTTTATTTTTAATTTCTGTAATATTCCCATCAAATATCCTCTAATAGTTTTTTTTATACATCTTCTGTTTTAATCAGTGCGATTAAAGAAACTGCTGAAGGTAATTCACAGCAAAAGTTACCCAGAATGCAACAGGGTCGCATGTTTTTTTTTCTTATTCACACAACAGCCCGGGTTAATTTCATATTGATTTTTCTGTTCCTGAATGTTTTAATTCAAGGTTTTCTAAGAATGGGAGTTCTTGTGAAACTTTACTTCAGCTGCTGCCCTTCCATTTCTCTGTGTTGCGTCTCTCTTCCTCCCCCTGTCTCGTTTCTTCTCATTCGAAGCTGAAAAGTGTAAATACTGCGTTGTGGAAGGACCACATCTTTGTGCCGCCATGGCAGAGGTCAGGGTAGTGAATGATGAAATGTTTTTTTATGATCAGCTCCTCGCAGACCAAGGTGAGAACTTTCCCCTTCGCCTTCTGTTCAGTTTCCTGTCAGATCATTAAAAATTCAGCTGCGGCCTTCAGAAGCTCTGCTCATTCAGTCCGTGTGAACGCTTCACGCTCTCGACCTGCTCTGCTTTATCAGAACCAGAAACATGTTCACATATTAAACCAGGTGATGCTTCGTTTGTGGAAGAAATGTTCTGAGTGATARAAGTTACACATCATTAAATACGGCATTTTGTAGGTTTTTCCAAACATTTTGTTAATTTATCATGGTTTTAATTTAAAAACATCTAATTTATAAAAAAAATAACAGTAGCTCTGCTTCACTGAAGATGCTATTTGATACTTTTTGCTTTTTAATATCTATATATATTTTTTGTCTTTACATGTATTACAATACATTAACACATCATGCAATTACCGTATTTATTCAAGTATAATACGTAAAATTAAATTCATAAAATCATCCATAAAGTTGGGGGGTATTACTATATTCGGATAAATATTTTTACTTTGTATTTTAACTGAAATATCGGCTTCATTCACAAAATGGATGAGCCCAGAAATGAGACGTGCCGTAAAAAGCAGTTGAAACGAGCTCACCTCTGACACTCCTCCATGCTTCAGAGTGAGATAATAACAGATCCAGGCAGGAGACATGATGTGAAAAGGTGGGGGGCAGTCCTGCACCTTAGTAATGATAACGAACTAATACCATTAGTGTGTGACCGGGCTGCTCCTGGAACAACAACAAACACATGTCCGTCTGTAATGGCTGCCGTCTACCGGTGTTCTGAAAAAGTTTGTATCCCTGAAAAAAGTTTCCCCACCAGAGGGGGCGCTCGCGAGTAGGAAGTAATCTGCTTTCCCCCCCAGAAGATGTGGGAAGTCTCTGACTTTTGTGTTGGCGCCTCCTGGTGGACTA